GTGATGACCCTTTGGGTCGTCACATACCTCTAGTGCAAGTTAGCTAACTTAATCAAGTTGCTAGACCGTTAGTATAACTAATTAGTTGGTACTTCTAGCAAAGTGTAAATTACCTAGGGATAGCGCCAAATATAACCTGCAAAATTATCTGCAAATAATTTTCATAGATAAATTTGTAAGAAAATTTTTGTTGTTGTTAATTCTTCTGTAAGCTTTTGAATGAAGGGGGGATGAAATTGTGCTGGCTGATTTGGAGCACTGTGTAAGTCATCAAGATTTTAGGTACTGTAGGCGCATAACAGTGTGGGAGGTCGAGGGATGATGCGTCGGATGAGCAGGGGTAGAGTGACCAGGCCATACAAGATTCCTATAGAATTCTGGAAGAGTGCGGGTAAGACATGCTTGGAATGACTCTCTAGGTTGTTTAACGTCATTTTTAGGACGACGAGGATGCCTGAAAAGTGGAGGTGAAGTACGATGATTCCATTGTACGAGAACAAAGGTGATGTGCAAAATTGCAATAACTACACAGGTATCAAGTTGCTAAGCCATATGATAAAAGTGTGGGAGAGGGTGGTGGCAGGGAGGGTGAGGAGGAGTGAGTCCATTTCCGAGAACCAGTTCGGTTTCATGCCGTGTTGTTCGACTATAGAAGCCATTCATCTTGTGAGGTGTAGTAGTATAGGCAATGAAGATGGACTTGCATATGGTGTTCATTGACCTAGAGAAAGCATACAACAAAGTCCCGAGAAAGCTCTATGGAGGTATTTGGAGGAAAAAGGTGTGTATGTAGCCTACATTAGGGTGATTAAGGACATGTATGATGGAGCTAAGATACGGATGAGGACAAGGGAGGAGACTCAGAACACTTCAAAGTTCTGATAGAGTTGCATCAGGGATCAGCTCTTTGTAACGACTCGACCGGTCGTTTTGAGCATTTACACTTCGCTCGGTTGTTTGAGTGCATGAGTAGCTACGTATAATGTATTATGACTTATATGAATCGTCGGTTTTGACTTTTGAGTATTTGACCTCGGATTGGAGTTTCGATGCTTCCGATAGGCTCGGGTGATGATTTTAGATTTAGTACCATGTATTACGACTTGGGTGGTGATTTCCGATAGTACCATTTATGCTTGAAGAAACGACGTCGAAACATAAAAAACAAGCGCAACACAATTCAAACCTATCCAAAATTTACCTGAGCCTCTCGAGTGTAGACATATGATTTTTGACCCTTCCCAAGATTTTATATATTTTAGCATGTAAATATTTAGTTTAGGCCTAATATAGTTATTTCATCTAATTTTGATTCTTTTTACTTTATTTTATCACAAAAAATAAAAATTATAAAAATATTTTCTCTTATTTAGCTAATTAATATTTTTATCTAGTTACTTTTAATTTGTCTACTAAAATTCAAAAATACAAAAATAGTTCCAGGAATATTATCTTAATTTGACAACGATTTTTTAATTTTTTATCTTTTAGTATGATATTTAAAAAATACCAAAAAAATAGGTTTGTTTTAACGGTTAGTCTTATTTTAATACTTATTTTACTTAAGTAAGATTAATTAGTAAATAAGGTCGTATTTCTAGTCTCGTTCACCGAGAAAGAATAAATTTGGGCTCAAACAACTTATTTTTAATCATAATTTTTGGACCTAGCTCATAATAACCCAAGCCCAATACCCCTAACACCGTAGACTTTGACTATAAAAAGAGACCTAGACCCGACCTAAAAAAAAAGGACCCTCAAGCTAAAGACGGCAGCATCCTTCCGTTTTTTCTTCTTAATGCTTTAAATGTATGGTATATTGATGCAAATTTGCATCTTTCTTTGGATAAAAAGAGTGTAAAAACACAAAGGAAATTGTTGGAATATAGTAATTTGCCTCTTTCCGTTTGTTTGGCAAGCAATTTTAAAGAACTTGATGGATCCTTTGTCACGAATGCACATTGGTAGCGATTTCCGTTAACTTGCAAATGGCGTCGTTCTTCTCTACTTTGTCCCTGTGCCTCAACTTCCCGAATGAATTTACTCCGCATTTAATCTACACATCAAATCCACACAAGCAGCTGAGTTTCTCTTTATCAAAAACGTTGTCAAATATTTGAGGTTTTAATTTATCGTTTGATTGGGGGTCTATTTGAGTTTCGGGCATGCTGGTGTCAATTCGAGGTTTCGGTTCGCAATTTTGATGTTTCAATCTAAGGATTGATGCTTTGTTTAGCCCGATTGATTAATCTTCGGATTTATTCATCAATAAAAGGTCCATTTCTCAATTTTCATTCTCATCTCATTTTGTTATGATATTTTGGTGCGCGTGTTGGTTGATTTGTGATTCTTTGTTGTTTGAGTAGCATGTCTTAGTTTTCATTTAAATTGTTTTAATTAGTTTTATTTCGATTGTGATGTATATAGTATTGGCTCTTAAATAAATGCTTTTATCGGGTAGATGGAAAACTGGAGTTGTTTCTTTCTTGGCAAGAAATAAGAATGGGCTATAAGGTGGGTTTTGGACCATAAGAAATCTGGCCAAGTAATAGATCATGTTGGCTAGCCTATTTGCCCCCAATAATATCTTGTTCATAAATTTAGCCTTACAATAATCTCAAAATTTAGGAACAATAATCTTGAACATCGTAGCTTGCTTTAGGCGCGATTATTAATATAATTTCGTGACTATGGGTACGGTTCCCGTGGCATAGTCATGATCCATAAATTCCATTCGGGTGTGCATTTCATGTGACCCGACCATAACTTCGAATAGTAATATTAAAATAAACATGTTGCGAATTGCGGGTGCATTTCATGTAGCGTGGTTTGCGGTGTGTTCCAAAACGGCAAGTGTACGACAATCGCAACTTGTTCAGAAAATAATTTCATAAATCCTAAAAGCAGTTTAAAATAATTAGAAGCGGTTATAAAGTTAAAAATGCACAATAGGTTTAAAATAAGTAATTAATCAGATAATTAGGCCAATTATTAATAGTTAAGCGACCGTGCTAGAACCGCGGAACCCGGGAATGCCTAACACCTTCTCCCGGGTTAACAGAATTCCTTACCTAGATTTTCTGATTTCGCAGACTTTTAAATAAAGTTGATTTTTCTCGATTTGGGATTTTAAAATAAATCGGTGACTTGGGACACCAAATAGTAGCGACTCTGAAAAATAAATAAAATAATCCCATTTCGAATAATGTCACTTTAATTGGAAAAACACCCTTATATCCCCTCTCGGGCGGGTAAAAAAGGAGGTGTGACATCGGGACCCTGTTCGAACATACCAACAAGTCCCATATCATAACACGAACCTACTCGAGGCCTCAAAAGACACATAACAACATCGAAATGACGAATCACACGTCAATTCGAAATCAATGAACTTGAAACTTCAAACTTCCACAACCGATGCCGAAACCTATAAAATAACTTTCGACTAACTTCAAATTTTGTACAAGTCACATTTGACATTACAGACCTGCTCCAACGTCCAGAATCGAAATCCGACCCTGATATCAAAAAGTTCACACCCGATCAAACTTTTCAAAATTCCAACTTTCGTCATTTCAAGCTAAATTCTACTACGAACCTCCAAATCACGATTGGGTGCAGTCCTAAGTCCAAAATCACCCAACGGAGCTAACTGAACCATCAAAAATCCAATTCGGGGTCAAATACCAAAAAATCCAACTTGGTCAAACTTTTCAAATTTAAAGCTTCCAGTTGAGATTTTGAGTATTTTAACCTTTGTTTCTCCTATTGTATGCTTTACATATGCGTATTAGTGATTACATGATTTGCGGGTATGGTTGGTTTGGTTTCGGGGAGGTTTTGGATTGCTTTAGGACACTTAGTCCCTTGGTTGGAGGCTTGAGTTGTAGGAGTTGACCGAAGTTTGACTTTTGTGTAGACAACTTCGGAATGATATTTTGATGGTTCCAATAGCTTCGTATGGTAATTTTAGACTTAGTATATGCCCGTATTTGGATTTGGAGGTCCCTAGGTTGAATTGGTTCTATTTGACGAAAGTTGGAAGGCTGAAAGGTTGATATCAGGTTCGAATTTTTGTTCCGGAAGTTGGAATAGGTCCACCGTGTCATGTGTGACTTGCATGCACAATTTGAGGCCATTCTAAGGTGGTTAGGAATATTCAGCGTAAGTTTTGAATTTAGAAATTTATATTAGTTCCTTAGGCGTGAATTGAGGTACGATTCGTGATTTCGATGTTATTTTGAGTAATTTGAGGCCTCAAGTAGGTATGTGTTATGTTTTATGATTTGTTGGTGTAACTGAATAGGGTCTCGGGGGGCTCGGGTGGGAGTTGTATGGATTCTGAATCATTTTCTCTTGTTTTGGACTCCTGATGCTAGTTTCTGGTTTCCTTCACTGCGATCGTGATAAGGAAGTCGCGTTCGCGGAGAGTATTTTGTGGAAGGCATATTTTCTCTTCGTGGTTGCGACGGGATCCAGTGTTCGCGGAGCTTGGGGAGCAGTGGCATTTGCGTTCTCGAGCTGGTAGCTGCGTTCGCGTAGAAAGGAAGGCCAGTTGGGGCATTAGGCTTTTGGCCTCCGCGTTCGCGATGGTGGGATCACGTTCGCGTAGGCTCTGTTGTGTTATTCATCTAGCTCGCGACCAGGTCATCGCTTTCACGTAGACGTTTTAGAGGCAGTCGTCATTTTGTGCTTCGCGAACGCGAGGCACCTGCCGCATTGGCGATGTGTATGCCCGGGGAGATCTTTAAGTATTCTATTTCGAGAGTTTTGGTTATTTTATCATATTTTAAGTTATAGGTCGGATGTTGGCCGAATTTGATAGGATTTTCAAGATTTGGATTGGGGCAATTATTTTTTACTCAGATTTGTTTATTATTCGTGATATTAACCTTGAATTTAGCTATTGATTGGTGAATCTAATAGAAGAAATTTGGAATTTTAATAAAAATATTTCTAAAGTAAAAATTGATAATTTGAGGGTCGATTTGAGGCCGGACTTGAATGAAACACTTATATCTAAAATCGTACTGAAATAGGTGTTCGAAATTTACGGGTTTTGTCGAGTTTCTATCACGACAAAAAATCCCAAAAAGTTGTCGGGAAACTAGTAAGAAATAGTATTATTTTTTGAATCCCACATTGATAAATACGGGAGAGACGTTGGATATATAAATAAGCAAGGCTTAGACCGACAAGTGAGGCTTGTGAGTTGGTAAAAGCACCTCCACCCACGACCGTTAGATCCTGGGTTCGAGTCACGCTGGAGGGGAAGTGTGGAAACACTATAGATCCTCCTAAATTGGGAGGGAAAAAAAAGCCTATGTTACTTATGATAGTAGTCCTTTAATTTGTCTCTTAACACTCCCTGAAGTCCCACTAGATTTCTTTATCACTGCTTTTAGTGCTTCTTGTATTGAGCTTAAAGAATATTGCAGTTGATCATCATTAATACTCTTCGACTGTGTTATGAACAACACATTTTTAACACGTCCACCAAGTGTTGTTATTTCAGCCTTTAATGTTCTTAGCCTCAAAGATTTCAAAGTGTTGATGAGGTCAGGCAAAAGATCAGACCTATCTTCACAGCACAATGAAGCCTTGATCACAAAGTTTCCTTCTTCCTCAGACGAATAATTATCAACTGTTAGTTCGTCCATCTCAGTTGGGACTGAATTTGTATCAGTTATTTGTGACGTTTGTGTCTTGAGCTCCTTCACATGTTGTATCACCTCAGCTAGCAATGATGCTTTATCCGTCTGGAATATCAAAAGGAAAAAAAAGATGTCTCTAATGAAAACTATGAACGTGGTGTGTGTGTGTATATATATATATATATATATATATATATATATATATATATATATATATATATATATATATATATATATATATATAATTCTTTTTAATAATCGAATAACAATGGGACTCACATATGCCTACTTTTATGTGTTTGACTAACTAAAAGAATTAGGTCTGCATATGAGGAGAGTATATCAAAGAAAATTAAATAAATACTTCATCCGTCCCATTTTATGTGACGTGATTCGAAATATCATTGTCAAACTATCTAATTTTCAATTTGAATTTGGGCATAGAATCTTCTGGTTTTTCGAAAGAAAATTTATATATTTAGAAAGGGATATATTTATAAAGGTAGTACCATAAGTCATAATAGTTAATAATTCAATATATTTAAAAAGAAATACATTAGAGCCTCCACATAGCAACTGCATCACATAAAGTTAAATGAAGAGTAAAAATACATGTGATCTCCCTAATACTTTGAACTTTTAGTTGAGCTGGTTAAACAATTCTAACAACATTCATCATGCATGATTTTTATAAAATGATATTGAAAACATGTAATTTGTCATAAATGATAGTTTTGGTAGAGTGATCATTGAAGATTAATTGGTAAATTGGTTTCTTGGAGGTCTAGTTTGAAGTTTTCAAGAACTTCTCCAAAAACTAATAAAATAAGTAAAAGACAGATTTTGGTTTAGTCAAGCTAGAGCATTTTTTAAAGAGCAGACAATTTATAAAACTTTAAACTAAAACAAAAAAGAAAATTTATAAATAAAAGAGAAAATGGTATTAACTAGTATAAGCATAAGTTTGTTGAGATGAGAATGAAATAACATGCATGTATTGGGGAAAAATTGTATTTTGTATATATATGGTGACGTGTCAGGACACGTGGATTGGTCAAAAGGTCAATGAATGTCAATTAGACACGATTCAAGAATTGTAAAACAGACACGAGCAAAGAAGGAGGAAGAGGCACGGGATATCAGATAAGAAGCACGGCACCTGTACCTATTTAAATCATTTATATCCGGTCATCAGAAGGAATGAATCTGGTTGTAAAAAAGCGTGCAGATACAACATTTAATGGGTATTAAATGCTGAGTCTGTTAAGGAATATATATATTCAATGTAATAATTGTGTAACGTAGCATTCAATGTCTTTAATTATTCATAATAGCCTCATTATGATTTAGGCATAATGTACATTCTCAAAGGTACCTATAAAAAGGAGATATATGATCAGTTGTAGGGGGGACAGAAAGCTATTGAAATATACATTGGTATCACTTGTTTTTCTTGATTATTATATTGCTACTCAGAATTATTTCTTTTTATTCATTTCTTTGATTATCAGTAACCCGAGTTCTTCTAAATTCTAGCTTTGACTAAAATTTCATTTTTTGGTTAAACAATGCATGTGTTATAATTTAGCTTAACTTACTTTTGTAGTGCTGGGAAGAAGGCTTCGAAGTTTAGAAAGATGATTATTAATTCTTTCTCTACGTCTTCTTTCAGCTTCACTGTGGCTTTTTGAGGCAGCAAGAGCTTTGGCATCCATTATTTCTTTACCACTCACTTTCTGCAGCTCATCTTGTAGACCAAAAGGAGATGATCTTCTGTTGAATAAACCTCCATAAGGTGATGGTACTGATGTAAAAAGATTAAATGGATCGTAGTAATGAATTTGGTTGCTCGGAAAATGAAGAGTATTGATGCTTTGAGGGAGAAGTGGAGACATTTCTGGGAACATAAATCCTGAATTATTTCCAGCTTCACCCATATATGTATCTATGATTGTTGATCAAGTTGTTTTTGTTGGAAACCCTGATTAAGAATATGTAAAGGTTTTAGGACAATTTTCTTGATCTTATCACACATGTATAACATAGAGCCTACCTTATATATATATAGCATTTAATTTATTTTATACTAACAATACATAAAACTTGATATGAGGGTGTGGAGGTCCAGGATTAAGGTAGAAGGTTAGTAGTTAGTTTATAGTGTTCACCGGTAGGCTTAGTAGCATGCATTTCCCTTCATATTCTTTGATTTTTATTACGGTGTGGTTTTGTTCGCCTCAGGTATTGTATTCCGTGTTGCTATTATTGGATACTGTTTTCCTTCCTTGCTTCCCTCTTCTTCTTGCCCTTTCTGAGCCGAGGGTCTATTGGAAACGGCCTCTCTACCTGCATTAGGTAGGGGTAAGGTCTGCGTACAGACTACCCTCCCTAGACCCCACATATTGGGATCAAACTGGGTTTGTTGTTGTTGTTGTTGTTGTTGTTGTAACAATGCATAAAACTTACACTTTTAGCCAACATAGATGAGAAGAGCTTAACAAAAAATTTCCGAATGATAACTACGTGCAATCATATCCAGAAAGGAAGAAATTAGTAACTTGAAAAATAAAATATGTTACATGTATAAGTGTAAAAGATTTTTGTATTATTAATGTATATAAGTTAAATTCATGTATCATTGATCTTGTATATATTATGTCTATCGTTATGAGTTGAAGTGTAAGTTTTCATCTACCGCTACAAAATAATTTTTTTTTTTTATTGGTTTCACACTCGGTGTTTGGTATCGCATTGGGGCCCGACTAAATTCGGATTCGTGTCGGAAAATCTCACATTGGGGGGTAAAGAACTCCCTAACAAAGACGATTTCATACCCAGGACTCGAACCCAAGACCTTTGATTCAAGATGAAGGAGTACTTACCACTCCACCACAACTTTGTCGGTGCTACAAAACAAGTTTGAAGTTGAAGAACTTTAGGCTTGTTTGACAATCATCTCTCTTCTTTTTACATAAAAAGTCGAAAAGAAAGAATACTTACACATCATTCCCACCTTCATCTACATTCCTTATCATAAATAGTGGATACAAGTACTAGTAGTTTTGAAGGAAAAAAAAATACTGGTAGTCTCTTTCCTTCCTCTTTACGACTTTCTTTTTCAACTATCCATATCTGTAGTTATTAGAGGCATGTTACTTTGCAACCGGTTGAAATGTACTATTTTCGATCTTATTATCGGTTTCTTAAAATTTTTATACATCTTTATGAAACACATGAAATAGGAACTTATTTTTGTTGATCTAATTATGTTCTAGTAATTTGTCAAAACTACTAGTACGTAATATTGGAAATCAAACATCTAATTACATTTAGTGAGTATTGCTGTGGCAAAAAGTAAGAGAGAAAGGGAGGAGGAAGCACAAAAACAAGGAAATGATTTTCTATTTCCATTTATATTTGAAAAAAAAATTTAATTCTACAATATCTTTATTTACAGATTTTTGGTGTTATTTTTTGCTAATCTTCTATAAAAAAATAAATCAAAACTTAATGCACAACATACAAATTGTCGACCAACCAAAGACGATTAATAAAAAGTAGAAAACTCGATTTAGATTGACAGAAAGTGCGCTCTTCTTTTTCTTCTCGTGTCTATTGATTACCACACTAATTGATAAAGTGGGAGTAATTTTTTTGTTGTTGGCTTTTGGCTTTGGTTAATTTCACCATGATCAAGCCCCCCACGTTCTACCATATTATTACTCTCTTTCTCCATTGGCTAGCTATTTTCCACGCCAAATAACCTTTATACTTCCTCCAAGATCTATTGTAATCATTGTGTCTTAGAACACACTTCTTCTCCACTACAAAATCCCAGTCCCTAGTGGGAGTGGGGGAGGGGCACTGTTAATACGTACAGTGAGTTTGTCTTTACATATAACGTACGTATCGTTTTCGTTTTTTGGTTTTTATCCTGGTATCCGGTCCTTGCATTATGACACGAAAATATTTGGATTTGTGCCGGAAAATTTCATATTGGGATAAAACTTTCACTAACAAAGGCGACTTCATACCCAGTGTTCGAACTCGACACCTTTAATTAAGAGTAAAAGAATACTTACCACTCCACCACAACCCTTATTAGTAACATATATATATATATATATATATATATATATATATATATATATATATATATATATATATATATATAAAGAAAATTGACAAACCACACCGAATCGAGAATCCGAGTCAAACCGAGGGAAAAAAACACCGACTATGATTTGATGTTGGAAAAAAACCCGACCATAATTGGTTGGTTTGGTTTTAACTAAAAAAAATCATACCACAACCAAACCAACCCGACATTACATGTATAGAAGTTTTTAATATATTTAATACATAAATATATTTATTGTACTGTAATTTATAAATATTTCTTAAGCTTTTTCACAATTTTATCTTTAACGTATTACTTCAAGTTTGTACTTATAATTTTTGGGGTCAAATGATTTTGTGGGTCTTACAAACTTATTTTTAGTGTTATGACCTTATCTCTTAACATGTCTCTCTTTTACACATAAGAAATCTAAAATGGATAATTTCTTAATGTTAATATTGTAAATAGTCATGAAGGCCCATCAAACAAAGTCCAAACCAAAATCTAATCAATATTAATGCTAACATTCAATTCAATTGTATTAGGAATGACCATAGTGTTGGATATATCTATTTTTTATTTTTTTCATGATTTAGATAAAATGCATAACTTTTTTTATTGTTTAGACATGTAAATAATACTTAGTACTTATTAGTCGTACTTATTTTAGCAACTTTGTAATTTAGATTATGTTTATTTTTATTATGGCTTATTAATAATATTTTTTATGCGATTTTATTATCTTTATTATTGAATATTTTAGTACAATTTCATGAATCGTGTCATATTTTATGTTATTTTCTTAAATAATACTTTATATAGCTCTGTTTTATGTAATACCCCAATATTTTAAATGAGGACATATTGGACACTTAGCAAATAATTTAAATTAAAAAAAATAGAGAAATGTAAACAAAAGGGCCGAAGCCCAATACAAAACAATTTGATCAAAGATTGAAAAGGATTTAGGGGAAGGGAACGAATAAAGGCTTCAGGAGAACAGAAAAAAAAAGAAAGAAGAAAAAGCAGAGAAAGAAACAAAGAAAAAGTTTCTGGGGTTCTTAGTGCCGAATATTGTGTTTCATCTTATCATCGATATAGATTCTTGAGGTTCAACAATATAATCAGGGTAATTTCATGTAATTCTTCTTCTTTTAAGACTATTATTTTATATTCGTGATTCTTTATGGGACTAAGTAGGGATGATGTTGGGATTGGATTAAGAGTTTAAAAGATAAAGTGAACGGAATTGGGAGAAATCCATGAGACTTTTCCAGGAATTAACTGAGTATATTATATGAATAGCTTGGTGGATTTTCTGAATTTGATTTAAATTACCACTAGCACGAGTAAGTATAAATTGACTAATTAAGAGTCAAATATGAAACCTCGAGGGTTGGGTATTTTATATTAGCCATGAATTAGCCTAAATAAGGAAATTAACATGAGATCGACGTTGATGTGATTATAGATTGATTGAAGAAAGTTGTACAGGTCGCTTGAGATGACGAGTTTGATGTTTCGACACGGGTACAGTGAGTAGTAATCTTACCGCAATTTGTGTTTTCATAATTTGCATGATTTACACATGATTTTTAATATGAATATGTTACCGATTATTTTAAGTTGCATGTGGGACAAGTCTTTTACTCGATATGATACCGAAATAGTTATTTGAGATGAATACCGTGGTTTTAAATATTTTCGTTGTCACTAGATCTGTTGTACCGTTACTTGAATTTACTGTTATCGAAAAGAAATTATATGATTTGATAAGAACCGAAATGCCCTATATTGTTTTAAAACATTTTCTACGAGTATATACGGATTACAAAGACAAGTATAAATGGGAGTAGACATTGAAGGATCCCGTAGCTAACAACGGGTTCGTTAGACCTGGTGCTCCTTGTATTTACAGATTACCGATTACAGTTATAGCCCTTAGCTGGGAAGGTAGAACTAACATACAATTACGATTTTCCCTCGAGTAGGGACCTACAGTTATATTTGACTCCTTTTACGAAGGGTCCACACAGTGATATAGATTACATGATCCTCTCTTGGAAACCTCCCAAATATAAAGATTTGCTATGACACAGTATTTACCGAGTTTACTACTGGATTATTAAATCAATTTTGTTACAGGAAACACATGATGAGACTGATTATTATTACCGTTTTAAAAAGGATATTTTATTTTGTGATTAATATACAAGCATGTTTCTGACTTGCCCCCTATTAAAAATGATTGTGGTTAAGTGTTATTACTCACTGAGCTAGCGACTCACTCCCCGCTACTATTTTTTTACAGATGCAGTAGTAGACGCAGACGATGATTCCGTTAATTAGAGTGCGCGAGTTGGCAGATCCTGGTGAACCCCACATTTATTCGCGTGGGCAACTATTGTTATTCATTTATTTTAGTCTTTTTTTTAAAATTCTTAGAGTCGCTCCATATTCATTTTGTTAGTGTCATGAGTATTCGTTCATTATTTTAGATCTATGACTAGTATTGGACTCTCTTATAGTATTTTGGAGATGAATTTAAGATTTTTGTGTTTCAAGTGATTGATTAATAGTGGTGAATAACTATTTGATTAGTTGATGAAGAATATAAGATATTTTGGTTGATATAGGTTGGTTCTGTTGTTTTTTTTTTAGACAGGGTAAACTTTTGGATAGTCCTAAAATAGGGGAAACTCTGCCCAATTTGTAAAATACCGATGAGGCTTACTTGGGAGCACTTGCTCCTAAGCGCCGGTCATGATCCTAAATTGGGTCGTGACAAAGTTGGTATCAGAGCCCTAGGTTATTTATGTGACTAATGGAGCATACATCGGTAGTAGAATCTCAATTATGGTTATGTAGCTGGCCATTCCCATAATCGTGATTCTGTGAGGGCGTGATAGGATTTGTCTTGTCCTTTGTTCTTATTCCTCCGTACGTGTAT